TGACTCGACGGCGACGATGCTTGAATTCTACAACGTATACCTACATACCAGGTGCTTTGGCCGGTTAAAGTGTAAATTCGAGAGAAGTACAACCGCGCCCAGAAAACTCTAGGCGGTAAGCGTAGGTCGCGCTCGCCGTTCGTCTCAACTCTGCTGCCCACTTCGATAGTCGATTCAAACTCCGCTAACTGAACATATTGTAAGCTTTATGTACTATCCGGCCCAAGTAAAACGTACCGATGAACATCTTTTTGCAATTGTTTGTACTTAGAAACTGACGTATTAATAAAACAATTACAAAAACATTTAATTAATTCTAACATTGAATGCGTCGAACATTTATTTGTTCATGATAAAGACGGCGGGAAACATTTGTCGTTTACATTGCTTTACAATTAGCTGTCATTGAACATCTGGAATCTGTGGAAATTGGACAACCATCCAGATAAAATGCGTTCATTTGTCGAAATAGAATATGGAGAATCATAGAAAATTGGCCTTTAAGGGTGTACTCTAATGAAGAATGATGTTTTTTGGGCTGGTAGACTAGTCGATGGTACACGTTTCATCTCCTACTGTGGAATACACCTTCAGTGGATTGCATGACAATGTATGAAAATTTGATTTTAATCAACGACCAGCCCAGAAAAATCGTTAAAAGACAGATATGTATTTGATGAATGTGTAGAACAATGTACTGTACAATAATCTGTCAATAGTAATGGATGGAGTATTAGTTGGCTAGATATTGATGCATTTCTTGTGTAAAGAAGTCGTAAAATCGATTTTTTATTGTCCTTATCCGGTAATAGACTTTTACTAGAGGTGCAAATTGACGTTAACCCCGGTATCTTTTCGAAGAGTACCCATATTTTGTTCTCTTGCAATTAGACCATTAAAGAATCCATAAAAGGGGCGTCTATAAAATAAATTGTTCTTAATGTTACGTACATTCATTAAGAGTCTAGGTACACAATATAATAATAGTACCAGTTCACATTTAGACAGATGAGCATCTTCGTCGGTAGTACATACTCATAACGTAACCTAACCCTGCATATTGTGGAAACCTTTTTCACTACAACCTGACTTAAATCCTTGGTGCATCATAAAATTTTACGTATGACAATCCGGAAATCCCCTCTCGCCATGACCTGACGCTCCAATCTAAATCCCGTGGTGCACTTCACATTGTCGGTCATCTCTTCCCCCATAAGCAAACCCAGTGTATATCACTTAATCGTATGGTGTATAGTGCTTGACTGAATCCAATCAGGGAATCTAATATATGGTAGTAGTGTTATGTGACCGCATTTGTAAATAATACTCATAGAAGTTTTTTAAAGGAAATCTACTTCGTAAAATTATCTGGAGCTCATGTTAGACGGCGCGTGGAGGTTGGTATTCCACGCGCTCGCTTCTGTCGTGAAAAGAAGTCAAAGAAATTGCTGGGTCGCTGCTATCCGCTCCAGTTCACGCCGAACAGGGGCTTTACATGGCGCGTGGAACGCGGATCGAAATTCCACGCGCTTGCTGTCGCCATGAATACAAGTCATAAAAACCGCTAGGACGCGCTTGTCCCCTCCAGGTCACGCTGAACAGGGGCGTTACAAGGCACTTGGAGCGTGGATCGGCATTCCACGCGCCCGCATCACAGTGAAAAAAAGTCAAAGAAATCGCTAGATCGCGCCTGTCCGCTCCAGACCACGTCGAACCCATTACACAGAGCGTGATTTGGCAATCCATGCGCCTTGTAACAGTGGCTTTACAGGGCGCGTGGAGCGTGGTTCGGCATTCCACGCGCCCGCCACCACCGTGAAAATAAGTCAAAGAAATCGCTAGGACACGCCTGTCCTTTCCAGGCTACACCGAACCCGTTACACACTTCGTGTAACAGGGGCTTGATATGGGTACCGAAAATTTAGCAGTTATTGTGTATTACATGTATGAGTTTTATAATAAGGGTGATGAAAGATCTTGGCGCCAGTAATTTTATATGGACAAGACAGTACCATGGAAAAATTTGTGCTGTATCATTGTAGGTACTACAATATGTTAGATACGCATGTATATCAAGAAGCGTAATGTTCAAAATAAAAAACTGTGTGTCTCGTAACAATTGTACGAAAAATATACTTCGGCAATGATTTTCGTTTTTATAAGTATGTTGAATATGCAAACTGATACCGGTTCAATAAAGATGTAGTCTGGAATTCATTATTATCATTCTTCGTTTTACTTTTTTATGGACTACCGTTCTCTATTCTTACGTATGCATTTATTAAAAATTTTGCTGTCGAATGTATATATTTTTTCATTCATTTGAAAGAAATATAATGCGTAACACAAAACGAAAATTTAATTTGAGAATGGATAACTTTATTTTTACTATGCTCCAATAAACTTAATCGAGATAGTAATGTTTATATATATATATAAGTACATTTGTGTACGGTAAAGATTTTGTACGAAGATATCACGTATATGAACGATAAGTTAATCTTGGTGTGTGTACATAAATATATTTTACTTTTCTAAGTTTATCTAATCAGTTGGGTGAGTAGAGTTTGGCTGAGGTCGAAATGTTTCGTATATTCGTACTTAGTTTATAAAAATGTATGAAATCGTAAAAGTTATATAATATTTCTAACGCTTTTTATAAATGTTTATTACCTTAAAGGCTACTACGTGATGCTATAACTAAAATCCTACAACTAAGCAAGAAATTAATAGTCCATGATCGAATGTGTACCTACTGATGTGATTCAGTTCATGTTTTAGGGATTTTAATTTTTTCAGTACAAGTACATGATGATAAGGTCTTGTGAAATCTTATAAAATCTGTTACTGAATTTTGAATGTTCATAGATTCTTTCGAAATATGTTTGATTTAAAATTTAGTGTTGTATACTGTAACTATTACCAATTTATGAGCCTTTGGTATCACTCCACTTATTTAAACACTATATTTTTAAAACTAGTTCAATTATATTGTATCTTGCTATCATTGAATACGAACGTAACTGTTTTCGACAGCCTGTTCATCATACCATGTTGATTTAATAATGTCCACTCTTTTACCGATTCTTATACCGAAAGACTTGTGTGGCTTATTAGCTATCCAGATCATAGATCAGCTATTCAGATGAGGACGGCCTGACTTAATCCAGGTTTTTCTGTGGAAATGCTTGGGCAGTAATACTTATTCCATAATCATTCACTTGTCTTTTGTCTTAATTTCGTCCTTCTCACTTTTCTGTCTAGCTTTTTTTTTTTATGTTTTCGTGGAAGAGGGGAAATCTTCAAAAGACACCCAGCCGTCCGTACGACTGGGTAGTACTGTCTAACTTTGCAGTAGGATGTGTGTTGAAGGGATTGCCATCCCTCTAGCAATAATAATTTGTGGAACGGAAACACGTAAATGTTTTTTTCTCGATATTGCGATTATCGCTATTAAAAGCAGAAATAATGATCGACATTTTCCGACATATCGCAAACTTGAAGGTGCTCCGATAGCAGATAAAGCGAATTTAATTATTAAGTTTGCGTCACATCCGGTTAATATCTATTTTTATTGTATTCGAACATAATTCATAGAAGGATTAAATAATTATTTTTGTGTTTTTTACATTTAAATAAAAGTAAAACACGTGACTGAAACTATGTAGAATTAATTCCATTGGTGGCTACGAAATTATAATAACGGAAACTACGAAATGGCACTTTTTAGTAGAATGAGATTGCAAAAAGAATGGATTTTAACATTGGCTTGATAAGTAAATAAAATTCTGTTTCTGTTTTTTACACATTAACCTGCGTTTTAAAAGTACAATAATAATTTATTGATAATAAGTAATGATTACAATAAACATTCAACGCCAGAAGATAAGTATCAGGACGTTTTTATCTTGTCATTGAAAAGTGAAGAGAAGATTTCCCATGACCTTCGAGCAATTAATCTTCTTTTTTGATCGAATGTGTACATTCGACAATGCCATGGTTCAATGAATGTTTTCCTGGAAATGCACTGCAAATTGATGAGTTAGAGTAACATGAATTACATTGTAACTACAATGAATTTAGATTCACTATTATTTCGTCGGTTATTTATTACTACATATTCACCTTTTTGTGCAATAGTTTTCAGAACAAAAATGGGATAAGGCTACGCGCGCACTACAACTAAATTGTCCAACAACATTTTAGTCGTTCCAACTTTTTGGTGTCACATTTGTATGCGCATACCAACTAAACTGTTGTTTAAAAGAGAAATAATCTGCATCAGATGTAGCAATGTTAAAATCGATTTGATAGAGATGAAAAAAACATAAGAATAAAAGATGCTGGATTCATCCAATACACATCATGATTTGCGTACAAATCCTAGAAAGCATTTTAACTTCTGCAGAATGAGTTTAACAAGTTCTTGTCGTATAAGGGTGGCTTTTTCGACTTTAAGGGAAATCTGCATCCATGATGGCTACCGCGGGTCGTTATTATAACTAATAATCATTAATTATTTTAAAATTACGAAAATTCAACTGTTTTATCGTCAGGTGCGTTCACAGACGTTGCTGTCCTATGTTCTGTAACTCTGTCCGTCAATTATTTGGTTGTGATAAGACTCAACTGGAAAGTTTGTGAATTGTTGTGTCGGTTAATGGTTAATTCGTACCTATATTATCAGTGTATTTGTATTGGCGACTAAACTGTCGTACGACAAAATAGGCCCAGTGTGCGCCTAGCCTAAGTGAGTTAACGGATATTATCGTCTTTTACTTTTTTTCTTTGTTAAGTGATATTTTTATCTTAGTTCGTTGATAAACCGATAAATCTTCTGAGCATCTATTTTTTTATGCACCCAATACCTTATAAATTAATGATAAAACAACGCTGTTAAACATTGTACTTGGTATTGTATTTCGTTAGTTATGTCGCGTCACAGGGTTGTACTTGTGAAATACAATACATATTAAAGAATTGCTTTTTTATTGTTACAGCATCCGGCGATGACGGCGAAGACGGACCAAGGTGGTGCCTGGCGAGGCCGCTAGTTTGAACGGCCACATGGATAACCATGGAGGCCGTACATCGTTGCCGCGCGCGCATCGGCCGCGGGCGCCTGTCATGAGCGCCCCCGCGCCCCTAACGGCGCCCTTGACTCCCTTGCGGCCACCGCCGCCGGTCACACTAACCGCCCCCAGGCCTGAGGCCGACCGATCAACTAACGAATATGTCGAAACACCGATACGAGGCGGTTGCGGCGGAAACGCCGGCATTGCCGTCACACCGCCGCCGCCCCCTTCGCCACCGTCGCTACATGGAAGTACGACGGTGGTTGGAAGTTTGTTTCTGCCTCATCAGCAGCCGCCTCACCAAATACCACCGCCGCAACCACCGCGAGCTATCCGACCCACGAGGCTACCGTTACCACCACCACCGCCACCCGTCACCAAACAACCCGTCACCAACACCAACGCGCCCAACAAAGACTCGACGACCACCAACGCTGGTGCCGCCCTCGAATGTGCCGCACGACCTTCCATCTTGTGTCCCGAGTGCGAAAAGTAAGTAAACCTTTGTACGTACTTTGACTTGGATTAGGAATAAGTTAACAGTGTTAAGTTCAAAGTTCATTGAGAGACTGCAGTCTTATTGTTAGCGTAATCCAAAAGATTTATGAATTTAACGAATGCTTTTTTTTGTTGTTTCAGATGCCGCTGCGATTCATGTCAGCAGCCTAGGCCGCTGCCATCGCGTTGGATTTGCGACAACCAGTGTCTTTGTTCCGCGGAGGCGGTTATCGATTACGCATCGTGTCTGTGTTGCGTTAAGGCATTGTTTTATCACTGTTCCGAATCAGATAGTGGCGGTGCGGCCTCGTGCGCGGACGATCCGTGCGGCTGCGGACCGCACAAACGGCTCGCGCGTTGGGGCTGTTTGGCCGCTCTCTCCTGGGTCCTACCCTGCCTCTGGTGCTACTGGCCGTTGCAGTGTTGTAAACGGGCTGTCGAAACGTGTTACGCGCGACATTCGCGACGCGGCTGCCGTTGTCGGCCGCCGCTCGCCACCCCCGAAAAGAGGCTGCTCGATTCCACATCGGACTTTTAATAAGTGTCAATATTACTTTTACTATTATTACCGTCATCGTTGCAAGTGGCCAGAGACTACAGCGACCACTACAGTAACTGATGTTTTTGTTGTGGTTTGTACAAGCAAAACGATATGGTTCGCGGTGACGTTTTTTATAAGAGTGGCGCGGTGATGTCGCGAATGTTAGTGCCGAAAACGACGATGGACCCAAGTCTTTATAATACGGCGCCGTGTGCTTTGTTTGTCCAGCTGTACAGGGATCATCTTCGCTCTCAAGAAACTGCGACGTTTTAATCGTCGTTGCGAAATATAGCAAGCCCGATTTCTATACAACGATTTTTTCTTGAAGGTGAGACTTATTCAAAATTTTACTTTTGGGATCGAGCGCTTGCGCTCGAAACGAGAATATATTTTTGGTTTCCTTTTTATTTTTATTTTTCCATTTTTTAATTTAAATATTTTTATCTGGACGTTGGTAGATACAAAGTATCTAATGTCGTCTAATTTTTAATGGTTCAGCTGCATCAAAATTTTATAGAGTACATATCTTCGAGGTCTTAAGTAAATAAAATTTAAATTCAAAATTCATTTTCCCAAAGGTAACCACATTACCTATTGTAAACACGAGAGATTATAATTACTACTACTAACTTAACACGTATCAGAACTGGGCAAAGCTTTCAACAAAAGCTCTTACTTAAAGTGCTTTAGCCCTTGAAGCCTCAATTACATTTTAAAATCGAACGACTTTGAATTACTAATTGCTTCGAGAGCAACTTGAAGTCGTTTAAATTATAAATTACAAAGCAATTCGTTTACTAAAACCTAACTACTTCATGAAAGGCTTGAATTGCAATGTTTCCAAGCCATGAAGCACATTTTCAAACAAAGTACTGAAACTCTGCTCAGGTCTGTTAGACGTACTATTGAAAGTAATTGACGGTAAAAAAGTAATATAGGTTTAAAGTGTGAAATAACGTCTCACCTAGAACATACTTTGTTGTTCTCGAATTCTGGCTTTGCTATCTGTACTGATTTAATTTCTCCGTGTTATCCTATATGAATAAATACGAATGGAGCGGAGTTGAAAAGAGCGGTAATAAGAACGTTCCCTGTTCCAAGCCCGGCGTCCCGACTGCCTCTGTGTACCTATTATATAGATACTTTATTAATTTATTTTTGTAAATACAAAGTCTACAATGAATGTGTCGTAGCTACGATGTTCGCGAGTCTGCGATTAAATAAAGCGCCCCCGTTAGGTAAAATAGTGTTACGTCGAAATGCCAATTTGTGGTATGTTGGTATTATGGAAACCCTAAGTACTTCACTGTACACACTGTAGAAGCATTTACGCAATGTGCCAAACATTAGAGCATTCCGATTTTCTTACACACAATAGCAAACTCTACATTGGTATTGAACTAATGTCATCTTTAATAAAATTATTTCCGTCAGTAATAATAGATATACCTACAATTTTTTTGTTGAAGACGTGGGTGGAATGCTATAGTTATTTATTTTGACGAATAACTAGTTAATTGTATTTTAATTTGTACAGATTTTAGTAGATAAATAGTCAATTTGAAAACCTCGCAACACTTGTTCCTGTTTCTATTTTTGAAAGATACTTAAAAATGTGGCTTATTGTAGTCAGTGGCTTCAATTAAAAGCCACTCGTGTTTTATATAACTGTTAGCTTTACTTTTAGATTTTCAACCGATCTGTACAAAACAAAACACTTTCAGAAAAAGAAACGCCACTTATACGAATCCAAATTTTACACATTTTTTTTTGGTATACAGTTTACCTACACGATTTTATGTTCTTTTATTACTGAGAATGTGATGGCACTCTAGTCAGGATCCGACCCTGTTCGGGGTTCGGTGCGCCTGCTGTAGGGGTGCGTTGTTTAGGGGGCGCTAAGGGGTCGACTCTCCAGTATTATCTAGTCCTTTGCGACGAGCGCTTTTTCTCGAATTGTCCGCCAAAAACTCACATTTTTCTTCTCGCCTGATACGGAAAATTCGATAAGAAACCGCTCGCATATGTTAAATTTAATGTGTGAATGTGTATGAATGTACGTATGTAAATTTTTATGTAACAAATGAATTATAAATACGCTGTACTATGTATGTAACAACTCTCCAAGTGCATATGTTTACACAAAGATATAAAGGATATAAATTCAGCTGTATATTGTGGACAATTATCTCTCAAACCTTCCTGTATATGTACCTACTACCATTTAATAGTTCATTAATCTATAACCCCCGATCCTTTTTATTCGGTATAGAATGTGTACGTCTTTCTTCTTTTCCTTGTGGTATTTTTTCCCCGAGAGATAATTCGTTCACCCTCAGGTATTTCCATAAGCATACGAAATTTTTGTGAAAGCGTTCACGTCTGAGGTGACAAGGTTCGACTTAAAATAATAAGCTCTGAGTGTCTTGTTGGTATGGTAATAGGGCGTTTGGTATTTTAATAATAATTATACTAAAAGAAAATAAACTATTTTACATCTTTGTTCGGCAGGGTCTGTGATAAAAAATAATGCAATTTTCAATGGATGTTTGCGACTGTCCCTCAGGCGCGATTCGTTTTTTCACACAGTAATACTACTACTACTTGTAATACGTTATTGTCTGTATCCCTTCCACCGTGTTGCACTTAACGATCTGTGCTTATTTAACTCACCACCACATATGTACATTTCGCAGTCCGAAACGGAAATTTTTATATTAACGAAAACGTCTGATACTTAGCGATGTCATCTGTGATCGCTGATTAAAATGCTGTACTTCCACACACGAAAAAAAGTTCCGTTTTGTAAGCGAAATCTACCTCATAGGAGGACAGTACTCTCAAAAAATTATATTCGGTGTCGTCTATTGGCACAGCGTAGCTGTCAAGCTATTGTATATGACTTGTACATATAAATCTGTAATATTATTATATAAAATGTTAATAACAGACCAACATCAACAATTACTTTTTGTTTTATTTTTTTTCCTTTTTTTTATCTTTATCAGTATTAATCTATTAAGAGCAGTAATCCTTAAGGTAAGTGACTTTTTTTTGTATTTAGGGTGTTTTAACGTTAAAAAGAAATAAAATTTAACTTACTTAATGAAGATAGCACATGATTGCAGGAAGATTTGAGTTGTAGCTTCATAAAATATACATTTTTCAGTTTCTAATAACTAATAGTAGGCAAAAATATGCATTTTTCTATTAATACAATTCCGCAAAATATTCAAGGTGGGTTCAGGAGAAGTCATATGAGTTTTTCTATTTTTACATTTGCTAATGCCAATTCGTGCTATTTTTGCGCTTAGCATCATAATGTTTATGTTTACGTTTTATTAGTGCAAAAAATGGATTAAAAATAGGTACACACTAAGTATGTTCAATTTTTATAATAAGGAATAAAGTTGCGTAATTTACGTTTAGAAACAAAAACTAAATAATTCATTTCAGAAATCGTGTCTAACAGAATTGAGTTTTGGAAAGTGCACTAGCGCGAATTGTAACAAAAAAAGAAAAATACGTCAAAAACCATTGGAAAACGATTACGCTTTTATAGGTTTATTGTGGGTGTTGTTTTCTGTCTGGTTGTAAACTGTTAGCTTCGTAATAACACTTTGTGTCAAAACAATTTGTTTTTCTGTTTCATTCATAAATGAATGATTTGTTTATTATGTTATCGTAAAGAACACCTTCTAGTAATAAATAATACTATAAATAAAGAAAAACAAAATATCTCTGATATAATTAGTAGCAACTTCGTACATAAATTAAGGGCTAACTTTCCTAAATGTTGCAACGTATGATATCGATAAGTTTGTGGTAATTTCTCTTTTTTAATTTTTTGAGTATATAATAAGAAGGTAGTCTTTTTTTGTATTGGTACTCTACTAATCAACAAATTTGAGCTGAAATGGCTCACTATGTTCGCATTTTGCTACCTGCATAACGTGTATAGTACATGTATTCAAAATGGTCATGAAAACTAATTGTAAAGTAATAAATACATGGTCTCCATTGTATAATGATGATGTAATGAAACAATGTATAACATTATTCTTGAGTAAATTGATAGGGTTGGCCTCTACTATATGAAAGTTGATCTTCAGAAGAAGGATTAATCCTTGCAGGTCGAAACTTGTTCAGAATTTAATAAAAATGAAGTGAAAGTTTTCAAAAAGTGTTTTTTACCAAATATCATAATGTATAACATATTGAAAATACGTATGTAATTAATAAAAGGGTATAATGTGAGCTTTCAAGAATAGCTAAGTTACGTTTATCGTTGGGGGAGGGGGGTCAAATGTAATTTTAGTTGATAAAGAAAGGGAAAGGTATAGAAAAGTTCTTCTTTGAGGTAAAATAAAAAAAAGGAATGTAGACGAAATTATAAGTGTTTCCAGTTTATAGAAAATTGTGTTCTAAAGCTTTACCAAGAAAACTGTGTTCCTGGTTGAATGTTTGCATGTTATCCTACATTATAAGACCGATTTGTGTGAATAATTAGTAAAATGGAAGGTAAGATAATTTTTATCGTTTATCCCCATGTACAACGATTTTAAACATTTTTTTTTAATTTATACAAATATATTATTATTTTTAAGTAGCTACTGTCTGGAGCAAGAGGATTGGTAACCAAAAATCTGTTGGAAACATAGCGCCAGACGTTAGCGATTGTGGAGTCCTGTAAAATATGATCGACTGTCGTATGGAACAGATATCTTTGATTATATTAAGCATTACCAATAGGGGTTCATGTACGATCTTTCCCAGACTATAGTCGACTATTTTTAATAATCGATTTTTCCTCTAATTTCGAGGACTCGAGCAATCGCTAACCTTATGATGTGAAGTTTCTGATGGGATTTTTTGTACCAATGTTTATTAATCCTTTCGCCTAAGACGGTAGCTAATTACAAAAAAAAAAATTTAAAATCGTACATGCGGGTAAATGATAAAAATTATCTTTGGTCCATTTTACCTGCACAAAAATCGGCTTCCATCACTACCAGACGGTAACTAATCAAATCATTCACAGATTCACACGAATCGGTCGTGTGTCACAGATCTAACAGAATTACGGTCGTCGCGACGCCCCGCGTCGTCGTTGGTCTGTGTGTATGTATTGTACTTGATGGTGCTGCTATTGCTGCAGCAGGATCACGTGATCAGCCGGAAACGCCAGTTACACGCAGACAGGATGACTTCCATCTGCTCGCATCCTCATTTTGATCCAAAGGAATTTTTAACTGACAAAAAATGCTGTAGGTCGACCACACGCTGTTGTCGCCGCTATATGTACATATATGTACACGTAGTACATACATACATACATGGACATATACACACATGCTTACACGGATGGCCTATTCAGATGAACATGCAAACGAAATATAATGTGGTACTATTCATGAACAGCTACTTCTAGAGCTTCGTTTCTTTTTCATTAAATTTTTTTGCCCATGTGCACGTATGGGGTGTCTGGCTGCGTGGATGATATTACTGAATGCATTTTTTTAATGAATATTTCTTAATCATCAAGGAATTCTGATTTTTGATAAAGGGTTATCCTACTTTTGCTTTCGAATTCGCCCTGCAGCTTTTTATTTGTAGTTTTTTAATTTGTGACTGCACAATATGGCGGCTGAAGTCTAGTTACCTTTGTTTATTGTTTCAATTGTTTCGTGATGTCAAGAAAAATCAAGCTAGTGGATGATATTACTGAATGCATTTTTTTAGTGAATTTTTCTTAATTTAATCATCAAGGAATTCTGATTTCTGATAAAGGATTACATAAAAATCATAAATAGTTATCCTACTTTTGCTTTCGAATTCGCCCTGCAGCTTTTTATTTGTAGTTTTTAAATTTGTGACTGCACAATATGGCGGTTGAAGTCTACCATTGTTTATTCTTTCATTTTTTTTGTGATGTCAAGAAAAATCAAGCTATAGGAATCTCATTTGCTAAAATTTGATGTACAGGGTGGGTTATTCAAAAAATATTTTATCTAAGGATTTTAGGATTTTGTTTGGAAGATATATCAACAAAACCAATTTTGATATTTTTAATAGAATTACTGTGGCCTAAATTAAGGTAAGGCGTGCCGCAATGGATTTATCATTAGTGTGGTTGCTCTTTTAACAGCAACATTATGGAGAATTGGTCGATGTGGATTTACTCAATCCCAGGACATAAACACCCTGTGGGACTATTTGAATTATTGTTTAATTCATTATTTACTGATAAAAGTGTTTTAAGTACCTTTGTACACAAGTATTACGTTAATTAATGTGTTTATGAACAAGATGAGTAGTCCGATATATGTATGTCTGTACAGAATGTAGACGTCGTCTGTAAATTTGTTGAAGTCTTTGGGAACAAGAACTCTAATCATTGAAAGTTGATTGACGAAGCTGTAAACACTTTTCGGCTTTGATGTATGCTTTCGGGTAATTACTTCACTTGTAAAAGTACGCAGCGCAGTTTAATGTGTTTAGCATAATGTCGTCGGAATAACAGACGGTACGTTTACATTTTCCCACCGGAAGTTAAAAATAGCGACCGCGATTCACGTTTTTTCACATTTTTTTATTAACTCTCGCACAACGTGCTTTGTAGATCGAAGCAAGCAAAGGAAGGTGCCTCAGTATAAAAAAAAAACGCACTCTTACGATTAGTTACACCGTAACATTTTTCTCATCAGGAATTGCTTTAGAGGTATTAAGTTGAAATAAATGTCAAACGTTAAAGTCAAAGTGTCTACATTAATTGTTAAATGAAACATACCCTTATTGCCGTATGTACGAAATAAGAGGGAGAGATAGCGGTCTTCAAATATTTTTCTTCATACATTTGCATCAGTGATTAAATCACAAGTAATAAGTAATCATCATCAACATCATAAGGTCATCAGTCCTAAGACTGGTTGGACACGTACCTCCACTCTTTCCTATCCTGAGCTAAACTTCGCATTTCCCTAAAACTAGAACAGCCCACATCCTTAACTATTTGCGAACAGTAATCAAATCTAGGTCTACCTCTACCCCTCTTAACTCCTGTTAACTTCCATAGAGTCATCTGTTCTCCTAGAGAAAGAAAAAAGAGGGAAAGAGCGAATATAAAGATAGGACACGAAATATTAGAAGAAGTGGCTGATTTTAGGTATGTAGGAAGTCAGATAAGTCAGGACGGAAGGAGTAGTAGGGATATAAAGTGCAAGGACACCTTTTCAGGCATGAAGGTCTAGTCAGAGACATATTAAAGGCAGAAACAGAAGTTAAGAGTATAAAGGTAGGTCAAGATTAGATTACTGTTCGCAAATAGTTAAGGGTGTGGGTTGTTCTAGTTTTGGGAAAACGCGGTGATTAGCTCAGGATAGGAAAGAGCGGAGGTGTGTGCCTCACATTTGTGAAAAGGGTACTGTAGACCTTTGACTCCTTCATGGGGCGAATTCTTTTTGTCAATGACCTAGTAAAAATTACCAAACATTCCAATTTCTTCCTATAGCCAGATGATATCTAAACTATTAAAACAGTTAGATCCGTTAAAGAAATCTTTTGCAGAGTGATTCAAACTCAATCGTTGATTGTTATGCTTGAATGGGTTGGATTTGAATTTTAAGAACTGTCGTAAGTTGTCCTCATGATTGACATACGATTAGTGTACAGATATATAGCTCTCGTCGCTCAAACACATCTCAGTAGCCCCACTTTAATTGATTTAATCCAATGTATCGATTCTTCTACGACTTGTAACGTCTCTGTTTCTTGCTAGATACCCACTGCATCATTTTTATTTGATTCAATGATATACTGCTAACGAATTGGCCAACATAAAACGGTGCGTCGTCTAATAAGAAGTCAAAACTATGAATTTTTCCTAGTTTTTGATTGAAAAACACACCGCAAGACTTCAATTTACTTAGTCTAGCCAAACAACTTTGCTGTTTTCTCATTGACATTTT